ATGCACTTCCACCATAGAACATAATGAGACTTAACGGATAAAGTACCTTTCCTATGCCACATCCACTGTTTGCTGACTCAAGCTGCATTATTACTGAGAACATTTTTACTGGGGTGACATGTGAATCCCCTTTACAAAAGCCTCCTTTGTCGGAATCCTAATTTATCCAACTTACAAAACATCACTGGTTGTCTTATAAATACAGCATTGTTGTTTCTCCCATAATACAAATATACACATGGTGAAGATGTTAGGTTTCCCATGTACTCCTTGCCTAATTAAGATCCACTATTCTTTAAAAAAATGCATTCGTTTGGCTTTCTGTTGATGTCAAGATGTTATTAAGGCAATATAGTGTCTTAAGTGTTTGACATCTTAACACAGTGCCCCCGCGTATACACACACACACACACACAAAAACAAACAAAATGTCAGTCAACAATTCTCTGGCTAATAACACAGACCCTGAGAGAGAGACAGAAAACAAGTGCTGTGCAAAGTGGTGGGGACAAATCCTGCTCTGACGTAAGGAGGACAGAGAGGAAGACACAGAGAGAGAGAGAGAGAGACAAGGATGTAAGTGACAGCCTCCTCTGTAGAGCTGCAGCGGGGATGATGGGGATGTAGAAAAAGTAACTGTACCTCTTTAAGAGTGAAGGGAAAACTGAAAGGTAGCGCGGCCAAGTTTATATCTACAGCAGAGTAAAAACGAGGTCGTCTGGTTTCATTGAAGTATTGCGAATGAGCATCTGTCATCCTGAGATCTACAGCTCATGACATAGCTCTTAATAAACTGAGAATACGTACACACACACAGTCATTTCAATGTCAAAACATAAAGTTAAAAGAAAGTACAATATGACTTGTTGGGTTAACAGCTTACTTGGTTTAATTAATATGAATTAGGCTACGCAAAGCGTGTTCTTTTCGTAATTCAACTCAAACATCACAACAAACATTTTCTTGATCATTTCCAGCAGTTCTGCTTAATCAAAACTAAAGTCTGTCAAAACAATGTGCTCTCCACAATCAATTATACCACTTGTAAAAGTAAACACTTGAAGTTCATTGAATTGGCATATTAAGCGACTAGAAAGCCAGTCACCACAAGCAAAACAAATTACTTCGAGCCAACTAGCCCTAGCCATGGCCCCAGCATGGGTGCTAGCGTTATTTCCAAAGCCTTAACTGGGGGCTGCAGGTTGTCTGATGTTGGTTTGCAGCAGGAGACACTAAAGGTTGGAAGAGCTGCATGTTCTCTGTCTGCTTCTAGGTGATGGCCTTCTCCTCTCCACGTCTCTCCAATTAGCCGACATGGAGCAGAGGGAGGGAGGGAGGCCCCCACCGAACTTCCGAACATTGAACATTCCCGTGGACCGCTGCCAAGACTCACAGGCAGCAGCTCGCCGGTTTCAGCTTTGCCTCCCCCATAGCGGCCTGGCTTACCCCTGGTGGGCCCCCTAAAGCCCCGCCCCCCTCCCTTGGCACACAAGTTATATCAGAGGGAGGGGGTTAAAAAGACCGCTAACCCCTTCCCCCCGAAGCACTCATCCTTTCACGAGAGATACGTATACATGAGGATACTGGTCACAAGCATGGGGCTCAAACGATCCCATCCTCTGAAGAACGGCCGTATTATTTCCCTGGATAAAAGGTGAATGCGGATTACACACTTGAACTGTTGAATCTGAGGCTGAGAGTACTACAAGATCAGATTATGACTGTCATAACACACCGACACAGATCCGTGTCGGACCTGCGGTGAACCCTGGTCTGGATAAAGCGCGTAGACCCCGTCACATCAGCGGTAATCCCTGAGACGTTACGTCACATGAAAGAAATGGACAGACTGGAACCAGAAAACCCACGGACACAAAACAAACGATAAACAAACCCCTCACGGAAGAAAAACCTGTAAATGTCAGAGTCGGTCTGGGCACTTGGAAGTGTTAATGACAGATTTATATGGTTTGTTTTCAGGGTGATATCACTACTACGGTCAACACACACTCCCCCTCTCACAGAAATACACAAGCACTCCTCATTGAGTACAATGGCGACACCAAATATACTGCCACCCTCAACTTCAAAATAGCTGTCCACAGAGCAGAGGAAGACGATAATGGCTTTTGGCAGCCTCCAATTGAGTCCAGCTGATTCTACTGTCAACGCCTCCCTACTGGTGCAACACCCTGCGGCAGTGTTAAGCATGTTATCTATCAGGACGGTGCCAGTTGTTTTGAAAAGCCTCATAATCACAGGCTCAGTAACTACCACGGTCTGGACTGGGCTACGGTCAATAACGGGGGAAAGGGATAGACGACACAAGCCACTTTTACCGGGACATACATGAAATGTCTGACGAGGGAAAGAATTTAGTTTTTATTTGAAATCTCCAGGGCAAGTAAAAAATAAAAAAATAAAAAACAAAAGAACCGAAACAGGGTATGGGGTATAAAGTGACATAGGACAAGCAGGCTCATTCAATTACATTTGGTCCTGTAGTAGAAACCAGGCTAATGATAGCAAGCTGAGGACTGCGCTGGCGTTCTTGTTTTGCCTGTGAAGGGTCAGACGAGGGAAAGCAAGCTTTGGTTTTCCTTTGACGAAAATGACCCTGCCAATTCAGTGATAAGCGACTGCAGATGGAGTTACTGCCAGGGTTTGCCCTCACGGCTTTGTTACAATACACTCTAATCAAAACAATGTCTAGATGCCAACAGCCTACAGCCTGGTTGGATCCAGAGCCAACATGGGTTATGGGTTTCCTGCTAGTGCGCTGCCAAAATGGCAAAAGTAGTAATATAATTCACTGAGTCTGGGCCCGAGCGAGAGACTGGATTTCTCAATTTGGGAAGAATTAAAAACAACAAAAAAAGACTTCTATACTACTCCAAAGACTAAAGAATTGTGAGAAGGTGAGTGCTGACATCTTGATTGCAACACAACATGTCTTGTCTTGGGGCTGACCCCAGTGCTGGTCATACATACGCTCCAGATTAGCCACCTGCTTTGGCTGTCGTGGTAGCTACGGTGCTACAGCAGCAGTGTCTGGGAAGGGTGAGCCTGACTGTAAGGTATTTAAGAAAACGAGCAGACTCCCTTCCTCCTTCTTACCAGGCTTTAGGTCTTTCTTTTCTCCCTATTCACTCGTTTTACATACACACCAGAGGGCCCCTGCAACATCTTTTCACAGCCACCCCCTCACTGCGTGCTCTTCAGCCTTTTGGAAAGATGGGCGTGCATATGGGAGGACCCTTGACCCTGGGTAAGAACAGGGCTCTGTGTGTGTGTGTGTTGTGTGTGTGTTGTGTGTGTGTGTGTGTGTCTGCGAGTCAGCTGGGTGTCTAGGAGGCAGCTCGCGACCTGATTAACAACAGCAGGGCATTAACCGACTGCCAGGGCTTTGAGCTTGACATAAATGGTCACACACTCCCACGGCAAAAACAACAAGCATTCCCACGTGTGTGTGTGTGTGTGTGTGTGTGTACACTGGCTGATTCGGACACAAAACACACAACATCTGCGACGATCCTCTTACATTCCGAGACATAACACGCAAGACGCACAAACGGGCGCCACGGCATGCACGCAAACGTCTATGTACGCGTGAACAAACGCCCCAGCAGTCTCCCCCAGCAGTCTCCCCCATCAGTCTCCCCCATCCGACTGCAAATGTACACGTGTGTACATGTGTGCCACTGCCGCTCACGCGCATTTTTCATTTCATCACCTCACTGGTGTGCGACGATACAGATAAGACAGTTGTGACAGAGATGTCGGGGGGGGGGGGCGGTTTGAAATTGAACGGGAAATTATGTACTTCAATTAAGACACGCGGAGGAGATATTAAAAGCTATACTCCAGCGCCTGGGGACAGGATGCAGGAAGGGGGGATGCAATGGAAGGCGACAGTTCAATCAGGATCCCCGGCTTTCTCCCTGAGCCGGGGGGGGTGGAGGAAAGGAGGGAAGAGAGACAGGACAGCTATGTTTAATAATGCACTTGGAATTAATGTAGAGGAATGTACAATCGTGTGCGAGATACACGGTGTGATACGGCCACCGGATGAAGCAGAAAACTAAAGAGGAGTGACAACGGAGCAATCGAGGCGGGGGGGGGAAATGCAAGAATGTGCCTGTGTCACATTGGGAAAACACTGCAGCTGCAATGTGCAGGCACAAAACAAAACATCCTCTCAGTCGTGCTGTCATCATACGCTTCTACTCTGTCTATGATCAACCTACAGATAGTACTGCGTGAGCCTATGAGCACACCATCGCCTTCTAATAGCTAAAATCAGTGAGAAAAGCGAAGGCAGTTCTCTCGGTCAGTTCAAGAAACCATCACATTACACGCTCACATGTACAGAGTGTGTTCCAGACCGCTCAGCCAATCATGAAAGAGCGATGATATAACACAAAAGTTCCCAACATTTTCACGTCAAGCCCCTTCAGATAAACACGCAGCCAACCAAATGTGTGAATACTGAAAAGCAGCATGTGAGAGAATAACCTCTGATCAGTCAGTCATCGATTCAACATCACATAAGACACTATTATTCATTAATGCAGGGGGGGGGGGGCCCNNGGGGGGGGGGGGGACACCCTTTAAGAAACCCTCTGGGTATTGGGGTGGCCACTAGAAAGAACAATGTGTCTCCCTTTAAAATGATTTCTGAGGTCACACAACATGAATACTGTTAAGATGTGTGGCGCCACAAATAAGCACACATACTTGTCAATGGGTGTTTTAATTCTGTGGCACTTGCACGTTGCTTTCTGCAGCACCAAGCCTGTAGTTGTAACTGAATATCAAACATGAGTAAATGTCCTGACAAATGAAAATTGCAGTGCAGTTAGTCATTGTGCTCATTTTAATCTTGACATTACAGCCAGCTTCTGTCCCCTTTACCTCCACCCCGGTGCGACTTTGATTTTCAAAACAGGGATCAGCAATGACATTGAGCAGTTCATCACAGTGGAGGAGACGGTACTCACCTCGCGTTAACCACAGCTTTGGCAGCTTTCAGTGAAGAGTCGGTGCACGGCAGAGAAAAATATGCAGAAAAGCATTCTTCCGATGTCTTTTTTTTTTTTAAAGTTACCCGTAAAAGAGAGATGGAGCAGAGAGGATTCAGTCGCGATTTAAAGTCAGACTTGGCAGATAAGCCGACTGCTGCTGAAGCAGCTTGGTGACAGGATACCGAGGTAAACAACGGCCACTCAGCCAGATATACACACAGCAAGTACGGCAATGATGCTTTGAGCAAAAAAAATGTAAGAAGTAAGAAACATAGTCTTGAAATTATTCTCGCAGGAAAAACAGTTTGTCAAAAACGTCACGATATAATTGGAGGGGGGGGGGGGGGGGGGGGGAACGAAGCAGGCCAAGCTAACGAACAAAACAAAAACACAAAACACGAAATATGATTTCAGTAAATTATGTAGTACGTCGGCGGGTTGGCCGTTGTCTCGTCCGCGAGTTGGCGAGGTTCTGTAGCACAGAGAAAGTTCGGCGGAGGCTTTTTCGTTGCAGAAAAATAAAATTCAGCCGGAGGTCCCCGCGTATATGGAGCCGCGACGGCCAGATCAGCCAGCAACTATGTATTTAAGTCAAAAAATTTTTATGTATTGATTGTTATGAAATTTGGTTGTTTGTTTGTTTGTTTGTTTAGGTCGCCAGCTGGACGACTAGCGACGGGCTGGCTACCGCGAATGCAAAGTGAGAAACGACTCCGGGGAAATACATTCTGTGTGGATCCAGACAGCGGAGCGGACAGTCATGGTAGGCGTTCAGTGAGCTCTCGTTGACAGTGGTCTCGCAGCCATTTTGTTCAAACTAACAACACTGCAGTCTCCCTCTCCTCCTCCCAGCGAGCGAGACAGGCCAGGAAGTGGCTCCAGATACGTCACCCCCGACCAACCAAAGCGCCAGATAGCTAACTCCGCCCGCCGCCCTCCGCCCTCCGGCCCGCCCCCTCCCCGCTCTCCAAACTTCCAGGCGCCCACAGAGGATGGACAGCTCATATTTCCGAGGCAATTGCTGAAGCATGCAGCTAATACAGTGCGCTTAAAAAGGAAACAAATGTGACGCTGTTATAGATTTTGTGCGGGTGATATTGTAAAGACAGCAAAAAATAAACCACAGTGTACTGTTGTAGGAGCATTGTGCTCAAAAGTAGCACTTACATTTACCACAGTTAAATGCCAAGTGTAATGCCACTGTTTATTAAATACATTACATATTGTGTACTTTTGACAGTACAGAGACAGTATTTAGAACCTGTTCTTAAAACAGCTCTAATCATTATAGCCTACGATATAAACAATGGATCAAATAACTACGTGTAATATTAAAGGTGTTGCTTGTGGTGACAAATGCACTGAGAATTATTCCTGCTTCCCCTCAGCTCTACACAGCTATTTAGCTTCTTTTAACTTGTTGTTGGGGTTTTGTGATTTGCAACTTTATTGTTGTGATCCATTCTCAGCTCTCTCATCAGCATCCTTTTCAGACACATCAGGCAATGTTGTGTTTACAGTTTGCTGCACTGCCCCCGATTGGTCAAAAAATAAATGAGTTAATGTGTTACTGCAGCTTTAAGTGAAAGTGGCAATACTTTGGTGTACTTCATTACAAGTAAAATGTCTGCATTCATAATTTTACTGCTTTAAACACTTTTAATTTGCCCTCATGTTAAAATATTACTGATGTATCAACATGCAAGACCCATTTTAATATTGTATGTGGTTGGAGTTAAGCACTTTTTTGGACTATTTTGAATTGTTGTGGATTTTAATGTACGCTGGTGATATGCTGTGTATGTAAAATCTTGACCTTCGAAGTAACTAGTAACTACATCTGGTAGTAAGGTAGTAAATGTTAAATATTTTCCAGTGAAATGTTGTGAAGTAGAAGTAGAAAGTAGAAAATGAAAATGGAAATACTCAAGTTAAGTGCAGGTACCTCAAAATAAAAACTAAGTACAATAAATAAATGTACTTAGTTACTTTTCACCAATGGTAAAGTGACACATTTACATAATACTTTATAGTGTAGAAATAAGATACCATACTTCATGTGACTCATGACCGAACTAAAGCAAAAGGGCACAGAAATGGATGAGACGTAAAAGTCTACAAGCAATTTGGAACTTGTATCATGAACTTTATTTAGCAGACTCAAATGTCTGTTAAAGGCCCCACTCCAAGTTTCTCTACCCAGGATGACCTTTGTCAAGAATCTCTTGATCACATGATGCCCAGAAACATGGGGCGATAATTCCAGGCTATTCTCAACATGATGGATGAGGTCACCCTTATGCCCCCTGAACTGCGTCTGCAGCCGTCTCAGAAAAAAGAAAATGCGGCCCCTGTCCATTCTTTGCACTCCTTTCTCATGGAAATGACCGCTCCATGCAAACACACACACACACAGTGAGGTGGGAACAGGTCAAGGCTGCAGTCCACAAAGGGGAAGGCTGACCAGTGAGAACTCTCTCAGCAAAGCTCTGGTCTCCTATGCATCACTGGGAGAGACTGCTAATGAGAAAGCCAGGGGCCCCCCGGCCAAACGTTGTTTTTTTTTTTTTTATCCTTTTCAAGGCAAGATGCCCAGAGCTATTAAAATAGCAAGCGCCAACTGAATGGAGAAAGCAGATGTTCCACACTCAGGGTTAAGAGAGGTGAGAGCAGAGAGGAATGCCTTCAGAAATGCCTTAAGGGATATGTAGTTCATTGTAGATCACAGACTATTAAACTGTATGCAGGGATTTGATGTTCATTCATGTCACCTAAATAAATTGTGTTTCTGTGTAAACATTTAGTCTCAGAGTTAATTGAATTTGCCCACTCAAAACATCGATTGTACCTAAATTACTTTTAGCTTCCTTCATGTAGACTCACATGAGTTATCACAGATGAAGATGAAATTTTATGCACCAAAAAAAGGACAGCTAAGACTTGAAATAACAATAGTGGTTCGACATGATCTTAGCCATCAAAGGTGAGATTACATAGGTGTATATGTGTGTCTTTGTGTGCACATCCTTCCTTCATTACAGCTATTCTTATGGGTGTCTCTGAGATGTTTCTTTGACTCCACCAATTTCCCCAATTGCTTTCACATTTAAGCAGACTGCTGACAGAAGCAAGCCAATGGGAAAGGTCCGTCTGACATCCTGATAAGAAACAGCCCTGACACAAGCTGTAGGACTGCAGCGGAGGCAATTGCTCACTCCTTCCCCACTCCAACAATACACTTATCCTTCTCCTGCTCTCGCCATTCGCCTTTTCTCCTCTCTCCATTTGTTTTTTCAGTGTGCTCTTCTGCCTTTTGTTTTAATTCCAGTCCAATCATGAGCCGCGTTCCGCATAAGGTTTTCATTTCAAGCCTGCCGCTGGAGAATGCCAGACTC